TGTGTTTTCACAGAAAATAAATTTTATCACTGGCAGGTTTCAAACCTGCACAGTCCAAGAGAAACAGATTTTGACTTTAATGATCACTCGGCAAATTCATCTTTAGTGGGTTTTGAACCCACGCAGGCAGATTTAGATTCTGTTGTATCGACTGCTTGGCTAAGACCAGTGAGATGCACTTCCAATAGACCTGTTCACAAGTGAATCCTAAAGGCAGTTCTTTCAATAGCATGGAGGATTCACATATTATTTGACTCAAGGGAGATGTTAGAACACACTTAGAATTACTTACATAGTGTTAAGACTGTGCACAAAGGGTAGGACTGATTCCGAGGGGCTTGGCTTCAGCTCGTGCGCTGCGCCCCTTACCCGAGTATGTGCCCTTAATTTCAGAATGATGTCCGAAGAAAGTCCAAGGACATCCAAAGGACGTCCGAAGTGCGGGAAAGTTCGGAAGGACTTTCCGGACGAGTGCAAGTAACTTCCGGACGAGTGTGGGAAAGTTCTGGATGAACTTCCGGAAATTACGATGAGGTTTCGTCCTGATACGGATACGTGTAATGGCTACTTAGGACAAGTCCTAAGTAGAAGCAAACAGAGGAAAGGCTGCAAGGACAAAGTCCGAAGCAGAATAGGTCCGGAGGACCGCGGGAAAGTTTCGGATGAACGTCCGGAAACTTCGGAGGATCGGATAAGCGGATAAGCGGATGAGCGGATAAGCGGAGCTCTGGCCTAGGGAATTTCTCCCTAGGCCCGAGATGGATATTGACTAAGTTGATAGACTAGAACTGATATGAGGATTTAGAGTGAGATCTGGTGCGAGGACTAATATGATATTCAGACTGAGGAACTACAGGACATATACAAGAGTTTATATACTAAGGAAATAACGGAAAGATCAGTAAGCAAGCGTCCGAGGCTATGTATGAAGCATAAGCAAAGTTATCAAGCGCGAGTCGGAAATGAAGCATAGGTTAACGGATCAGTAAGCATACCGGTAGTAAGTATAACTGAGATACCGAGGACAAGGAATACCGAATAGAGGAATAGGCTGTGTTAACGTTATATGCACAGGAATTGAATTAGGAAGCTTATCGTATATCGGATCGGATCGGACCGGACCAGATCGGACTGGACGTCCGGATGAGACACGTGGATATATGGGATATGACATTAGGGTGATGGGACAAAGGATGACTGATGCAGGCTAGCTGAGGTATGGAGGTAAAGGGATGTGGATGTGGATGTGGATGTGCAGAGGTGCAGGGATCCAGATGGATAGAGGACTGGAGACATGGATAGGGCGTCCGAAGGTCCGGATGAGGTGTGGGAATATTGTCGGATGTAGGTCCGGAATACGGGATATGACACATAGCACCGTATATCTTTTGACTCTGAACTATGGGAAAACATGTAATACACCGTGTATGATGTGAGTAATGTGAGAAATAATGAACTGCGCACCTGTTACAATAACATTGCATGAGTCCCCTTGCCACCCTGCCCTCTGCCACCAGCACGGCTACAGACGATACCCAGGCCTCTCCTGCCTTGGGATAGAACACAAGATAGAACACTGGACCAATATAGAAGAGAACCCCGGGAGATGCCGGATTAGTAAGCGGTCTGGACCGCTATGACGACATAGGTCTAGAAGACCTATTCTTGTTATCAAGATAGAAGGCAAGCCTCATGCTGCCTCATGTACTGATAGAAGGATGCCTCGTGCTCCTTATCTTAGATAGAAGCCCGCCTCATGGCCGCTATCTCTGACTCGATAGATAAGCAGATTAGAACCCAGCTTCAAGCTGAGCTTAGATACGATAGAGTAGCCTTATATAAGGTAGACGATTAAAGTAGATGTTCCTTACTTTAATCTACTAGGTTTTCACCAGAACTTCCTCTGAAAGACAGTCCCAGTCCTTCAGTCTAAGCCGCACCTTAAGGAAAGCCGACGCTACCTTAAGTGGAACCCCCGAACCTCTCATTCGAGAGAAGACCACCGTCTTTCCAAATAGCGAGCCCGCTATCAGATTAGGCAATCCGCCTAGGGAAAGCTCGAACCATCCTAGTTCGTAACAAAAGATTAAAGTCTCACATTCCCGGCCCTGCTCATCACGCACCGCCGTTGAATCGAAACCGACCGCACCGCTGAGACAAGCGTAGACCTCTACTCTCGTGACCAAATCGCCGAGACCGGCGTAAAGCTATCCACAAATTGTCAAGACAGACGTACGAAGCTTTGAATCCTTAAGCCCATCACTGTCCCTTCGCACTACTCCCTCTACCATGAACGCACCAACACAGATCATGATGATCAGAAGAAATACCGACGCCGCCGCCAACCTTTCAGGAATGGAGACAAGACACCACCTGAAGCAACGACGATGCTTTTCTTGCCATCACGTTGGACACAAAGCCAACGACCACAAGTGCCCGATGAGGAGAAAGATTATCGAAGAAGAAACAGTCCGCAAGACAGCGGCTGGTAAGGAAAAGACTGGACCGCTAATGATTAACAAGAAAAGCGTATCCAAGAAGAAGGAACTACGGGTTGCCGCCACCCTCATGTCCACCACTAAGCCGCCCATTACGACCACCATGGTCATAGACTCGGGCGCATGCGACTCATTCATAAGCAGAGAACTCTGCAAGAAATATCGCATTAGAACGCACCTCCTTCAGAAACCAAAAAGGATAATGAACGGAGACGGAACAAAAGGAGTCGACGTCAAAAGATTTTGTCAACTCATCATAAAGATCGACGACCGAGTAATGCACGGACGATTCCTCGTAATGCCGCGCTTAGACGACATCTTACTCGGATTCACATGGCTGGCCGCTGTGAAGCCCTCCATAGATTGGAAGAAAGGCACGGTAAACATCCCTGCCACTGACAAGTCGAAAGGACTTGAGAAAATGATTGAGAGAGGTAGGAAGAGGAACGGGTTGAAGCCGCTCTTCCGTAAAGAAAAGAGGACGCGAAACACGCGCCAAAGAAGGGAGGTAGGCATCCTGATGACGAAGAAGAAAGAAGAACTCCGAGATGAGTATAAACTAGATCTGACAGAAGCACCTGTCACGCAGAACCTCCGAAATGAGGCTAAACTACCAGAACCGGCTGATTCGCCGATGGAAGATCTCCGAGACGAGTCGAAACTAACTTCGGGAAAACCGGAATTCCATCCGACATTAAACCCGATTGAGGAACTCCACAAAATCCTCGAATATGCACCGGCTACCAAGCCGTTGGAACCCCACGCCTCGACATCCCAGAACGTCGAGAAGAAGTCCACGAGACAGTCGGACTTAGTTGCCACCTCACCTCCCGCAGACAAATATAGATTTTCTGCAGTACCTGCCCAGATCTTAGGAAAAGGCAGAGCCACTTTCGACAAGGAACCCCCTCGTGCAAAGATCCCTAGACCGGCCCCTGAACCGGAGAAAACTCAGAAGTACGTCTTTTCAGCAGAACCTGCTTCGGTTCTTGGAAAAGGAAGATCGGTAGTCACGGCAGAAACGCCGTCACCGAAACGACTCCGCCAAGAGTATAAACTAGCAAAAGAAGAACCGGCCGCTGATCAATGGATCAACCACGCCGAGCCGATCGTATCTTTCCCAGAACGATCGAGAACCGCACCAGTCACTCGCCCATTCCTCGTGCCCACACTAGCCGATAAGGAAATGATAGAAGACACTGATGAAGATAACGACGAGATAGTCGTTCATACTACCCCCGCGGCCCCTGCCATAGCAGAAGAACCCGCGATGACCCCGATGGAAGTAGATCGGATTAAACCGCAGAACTACTTTCAGCGAACGATGAAACGTATCGCAGAAAACTGTCCCCACCAGGACGACCCTGTGGATGTTAGATTATTCCAGGGAAAGATTGCACCAGTCACGGATCAGCCTGATCCTGACTGCGGAAACCTTGATTTAGATTTTTAGATTTGATCGGTGATCAATCGGCTTACTTGGGGGGTGAAATTCTCATTTAAAACTCATTTTACTCTTAATTCCCCTCACCCCGGCCGCACCCTTATCTATAAATATCGACATTTCAGAAGTCCGGCATGACTATAAACTGTGCAGAAGTCCAGCACGACTATAAACTACGCAGAAGTCCGAAATGACTTGAAACTATCTACGGTCCGGAAAGACCCTAAACTATCCTCAGTCCATTATGACTCTAAACTAAGAATAGAAGGACGAACCCGGAGATACGGACCCCTTCACCTCGAAGACAAGACTAACACGCCGAGAAACTCCTGCAAGCCCCGGATGCCTTACCTTCACCTCTGTCCGGAAAGACGCTAAACTATCACGAGACGAACTCCATGGAAACTCCTGCAAGCCCATGGAACCCTCTAGAACGCCGACCGAGAAATCTACAATAAAGACATCTCGAAACGACATACCCCAGATCTTGTACTCGACCAAAAAATGGTAGATCAAGACACGTACGTCCGAGATGACGTAAAACTATTGAACAAAGGACGAACTCCGGAAAACTCCTGCAAGCTTCGGAACCCCTTATCCACAGATCTCTTTGAAAAGATTCCCGCGTATTCCACGCATAGAACCTTCGACATCTGATGAGAACATCTAAAAGATAGAAGAAGAAGAACCTCCGGAACGAGCCTAAACTATCAAGAGACGAACTCCTCGGAAACTCCTGCAAGCCCTCGGAACCCTCAAGAACGACGATCCAAGTTTAAACAAAAGATCGACGATGATTGTACCATCATGGCAATAACCAATACCCTCTGATGAAGATTCCTGAACCTTGATAACCAACAAAGGATAAAGGAAAGAACGCACCTATCACGGAACTTCCCTCTGATAGCGGAAAACGAGGCATCGATAAGCCCTCACGATTGAACCTTGATAAGAGATAAAGAAACAAAAGATAAGCATGAATCAAACGGAGCTTGAATTGATCTGGAAGAAGATATAAACCTTGACTTCCCCGAACATCCTTTCCACGAACCTCCATCATGTCGACCTCTATTGAAGAAAACTCTCCCGTCATTGTAACACTGAAGGACTCCGACTACGGACGAATCCTCAGAACGATTGAGAATAGCGCGTTCAATGAAACGGCTATCTTAACACCTGCATATTCCCAAGCGATCGACGACATCCTTGGTGAACTAGATGCTAGACTTGCAGCAGGCACTTCCCTCACCGTCTGCATTATAAGAACCACGAAGCTACTGGAAGATGTAGCCAATCGTGTTGACCTTGATGAACAGACAAAGAAACTCGCCGTCATTCATCTACAGAAACGGATCCGCGGCCTCGCACTCCATCTACTCCCGCTTGACTTCCCCGACATCGCGAACCAAGCTGTTAAAACTGTAGAAACCAGAAAGGCCAAGGAAGAAGAAATCCGTCTGGTACGCCCGCCTAGAAAACGAAAGGCTACCACAGATTGTACCCGCATGACGCTATGCAAGCGCTGCGGAGGATACGGACATCATTGGAAGAAGTGTCCTGATTATGTTTGTTGCATCTGCGATGAACTTGGACCCAGCCATTTGTCCATACACTGCCCTGGACTCAACGGACGCATTGTCCTGCAAGAATTTACAGATGAAGAGAAGTTTTTTGAAGCTCTCTTAGATTGGGAGCACAACCACAAGGCGCTCGCGGACCTAGAACTTCGGCATCCCACTGAACTGTCCCTTAACCTTGAAACTCCCTTAGCACCATCCGCCTCCACGTCCACGAAACCGGCGTTGCCGTCCTTGACGATGGAAGACGTTGAAGATAATCAAAGTCGGTGACTTTGACGATAGTAGAGGGGTAATGTTACAATAACATTGCATGAGTCCCCTTGCCACCCTGCCCTCTGCCACCAGCACGGCTACAGACGATACCCAGGCCTCTCCTGCCTTGGGATAGAACACAAGATAGAACACTGGACCAATATAGAAGAGAACCCCGGGAGATGCCGGATTAGTAAGCGGTCTGGACCGCTATGACGACATAGGTCTAGAAGACCTATTCTTGTTATCAAGATAGAAGGCAAGCCTCATGCTGCCTCATGTACTGATAGAAGGATGCCTCGTGCTCCTTATCTTAGATAGAAGCCCGCCTCATGGCCGCTATCTCTGACTCGATAGATAAGCAGATTAGAACCCAGCTTCAAGCTGAGCTTAGATACGATAGAGTAGCCTTATATAAGGTAGACGATTAAAGTAGATGTTCCTTACTTTAATCTACTAGGTTTTCACCAGAACTTCCTCTGAAAGACAGTCCCAGTCCTTCAGTCTAAGCCGCACCTTAAGGAAAGCCGACGCTACCTTAAGTGGAACCCCCGAACCTCTCATTCGAGAGAAGACCACCGTCTTTCCAAATAGCGAGCCCGCTATCAGATTAGGCAATCCGCCTAGGGAAAGCTCGAACCATCCTAGTTCGTAACAGCACCTAGCAGGACTAGCAGGATGGGATGAGACATAGGTAGCATGAGTGTGTGTGATATCTGATTGGCCGATGTGAAACCTGATGTCTGATGTTTGATATTTTCAGGTTTGATGCATATTGAGTTGGATATGATAGAGAGTGACTCGGACAATGTTCGACAGTTGACATGGATCATAAAACAAGCCACTGCAAGGCTAGCAGTGGAACGTGGTTCCATACGCCTGCTTTGAATTTTTTTGGTTTCTCTTCCAGGAAAGTCATGATGCCGCCAGAAAATTGAGGCCTTCCAATTCATTTTAAGATTCATGTGGAAGTGCGAAGGTGTGATTTCATAGAATAAAAATGAAAATGTTATTGTTGGTAGGTTTCAAACCTGCACAGTTCAAGAGAAACAGATTTTGACTCTGGTGATAACTTGACTAAGACCAATGAAGATCAACATTTGAAATGCTGTCTATGAGCAGATATCCGAGACATGCTCTAATACAAAAAATGTGTCACTCAATAGGTTTCAAACCTGCAGACTTCAATGGAAATAGATTTTGAATCTATTTTAGCAATGACATGGCTAACATCAGTTGAGATGAGTTTTTGAGAAAATCATTCATGAGACAATATCAAGATGTGTTTGCATAGAAAATAAATGTCATTATTGGCAGGTTTCAAACCCGTGCAGTCCAAGAGAAACAGATTTTGACTCTGGTGATCACTTGATAATTTCATCTTAGTAGGTTTTGAACCCATGCAGACAGATTTAGATTCTGTCATATCAACTGCTTGGCTAAGACCAGTGAGATGCACTTCCAATAGACCTGTTCACAAGTGAATCCTAAAGGCAGTTCTTTCAATAGCATGGAGGATTCACATATTATTTGACTCAAGGGAGATGTTAGAAATTATCGTTAGAACTGACAAAATGCAGACAAATGCACATTGAGGATTCACTTCTGAATGGATTCATTAGGAGTGCATCTAACTGGTCTTAGCCAACAGTTGACACAACAGAATCCAAATCTGTCTGTGTGGGTTCAAAACCTGCTAAAGCTGAAATTAACAAGTGATCATCAGAGTCAAAATCTGTTTCTCTTGGACTGCGCAGGTTTGAAACCTGCCAGTGTTAACATTGTTATTTTACGAATTCACACCTCGACATTTCCTCATGAATGATGTATGTCTTTCTTCTTCTTTCTGTTAGAACACACCTTGACATTGACTCATGTGTACTTTTATGCCGTAGCTTGCACTCTCAAACATCTGCTTTATATGGTGTTTGTGGATGCACTTTTCTGTGTCCAAGAACATCTCTGGGCTCCATGTGACATGGCTCCACATCCTAAGCACAAATGCCTCAAATCATGCTTTGGGGTTGTATAGAGTCAGGAAAGTGATGTCAGCGGTGTGATTGTAGTGCTGACCAAAACTAAATATGCATCTGAACACAGTCCTTGGGCCAATCATAAACACAGACAGATTTCATCAAAGGTCTTGACTTTGTTGAAGAAGAAGAGCAGATTACACATCAAACTTTCAAGTTTGATCCTAATGACCTGGGGAATGAAGAAGAATACACATGTGTCAAGGTTGGGATTCAAGGCAAAGATTCAAAAGAACCATCTGGCCACCATTCACTTATGTATAAGGTTGAAGTGTACTGTATTCAAGACCTTTCATCATCATGTTGCTCTTCTCTCGCTTTTTGAAAATGTTGTATTGCACTCTGTACTCAATTCATCTGTTCAGCTGAGGGAAAACATTGCGAGTGACAGGGAATGGTACACTTGCCTTGCAGATTCACTCTTGAATGTTTTCTTTAAACATGCATCTAACTGGTGTTAGTCAAACAGTTGCTACAACAGAATCCAAATCTGTTTCAAATCTGTCTGTGTGGGTTCAAAACCTGCTAAAGATGAAATTGCTAGTGATTATCAGAGTCAAAATCTGTTTCTCTTGGACTGTGCAGGTTTGAAACCCGCCAATGATAAGATTCTTTTTTTTTTATGAAACCACACCTTGACATATGCTCATGGTCGGTTTGCTTACAAGCTCATCAGAGTTGTGTTTAGCCAAGTGGTCGTTTTTTGAACTTCAATGTCTGAGATGCTGTCTATTGGAAATAAGATCATAGCTTCATATTCCATGTTATAGGGTTGTACTTGCTGAACCATGCATGATTACATGGTTGGGCCTAAGTGTGATGTCAGAAATTGATTTACTTGCCTAGTGCGATGAGGTGGAATCTCATGGCTGAGCCAAAGGTGGTGATGTACAAATGCAAGGATCAGGCCTAGTTGGATGAGTTAGAATTTGATGTCTGGGCCTGATACTTACATTTGTACATCACCATCTTTAGCCTAGCCATGAAATTCCACTTAGGCTGATCCATATGATCCTTCCACTGTTAATTGTCACTCATGGGCCCAGTCATTAATATCAAGGCATCACAAACATCATAGGCTTAATGCCACTCCCTTCTGCATCTGTTGCATCCTAATCGTTTTAGTGAAACTAACCAAAGACCCTTGCCATTGCGCACTGATATACAGCTCATGTACTTTTGTATTAGCAGCGAATCATATACCCAGAACCCCGCTCCAAGAATGCCAGACAGTCTCAAACGTATCAGTCTCAAAATGGCTCATCCTTGTCGTAATATTTGTGCTCATTTTTTTTATCCAAAAACTCATCTTTGTTCACTTTCCCCTTCAAACTCAAACATCAGCCTTACAAGAATATGTCTTGAACATTTGCTCATAGACAGCATCTCAGACATTGAAGTTCATAAAATGACCACTTGGCTAAACACATATGTCGTCGGCCCATTGAAAAGCTTGATTAATATGTATAGCTGCGCGCCTCATGCACTATTACATGCATATCTCTGCAGCGGCTTGCCTCGAGTCTTATTACATTTTGGATAGCTTATCTCGCTACTACTTTTGCCTACACAGGTTCCAGACTTTCACGCTGTAGGATATAATCTGGCTCGCTAGCTACTCGCACTTCACTTCACTTCACTTCCCTTGCTACGAGTCATAGTTAGTAGAGTCACTTCGGATAGTCATACTTTGCGTGATCAATCTTTTGTTCATTCGGAACGATTGTTTGGCTTGACCACTGCCATTTCGCATCTCGCTATTTCTTAGTTCTTTCAATAGGCTTTGCTTAGTTGTACTTCAGTACTTCTGCAAGTCTTATACTTTGACATACTTTGACACACCCACCGTATTCTCTCTTGGAAACCTTGCTGTTTCATTGGAAGCTCTTTGGACACTTCATGCAACCTTGGACCTTTGTTTCTTGACTTTGGACCACCTTCGCTCGCATCAGACAAGTGCTTTGTTACTTCAGACACATCTTGGGAACTTTGAATGCACCTTGGGTGACTTTTCCTTCTTTCATCTTTGATCTTAACAAGATATCCCTTGCATTTTATATCAAGAGATAATTCTATAGGCAGTCTATTTGGGACAAACATCACACTTGCACATTGAGTTCTAAGTCAACAACATTTGTAGCGCCTACACAGAATCAACTCTTTACACCGACCATGAGCATATGTCAAGGTGTGGTTTCATAAAAAAAAAAGAATCTTATCATTGGCGGGTTTCAAACCTGCACAGTCCAAGAGAAACAGATTTTGACTCTGATAATCACTTGCAATTTCATCTTTAGCAGGTTTTGAACCCATGCAGACAGATTTGGATTCTGTCGTATCAACTGCTTGGCTAAGACCAGTTAGATGCACTCCAAATGTGCCCATTCAGAAGTGAATACTCAAGGTACATTTATCTGCATTTTGTCAGTTCTGATATTAATTTCCAACATCCTCCTCAAGTCCAATCATATGTGATCCTTCCATTGTTGGTTGTCACTCATGACCCAGTTGTAAAGAATGAGTTTATTGGAAGTGAATCTCACTGGTCTTAGCCAAGCAGTCGATACAACAGAATCTAAATCTGTCTGTGTGGGTTCAAAACCTGCTAAAGATCAAATTGTCAAGTGATCACCAGAGTCAAAATCTGTTTCTCTTGCAATGGGCAGGTTTGAAACCTGCCGACGATGAATTTTATTTTCCATAAAAACACACCTTGACAATAACATTTTTATTTTTATTGTATGAATAATGAAATCACACCTTCACATCTCCACACGAATGTATAGCAAGCAAACACTGATGATCTCAAGCTTGATTGACATTGCTGTTGGTGTCATGCATCCTTTTTTGCTAGGTGAATGCGAGTATTTTTGACACAGAGTTCAATATATGACCAAAATCTCGATGCAAACTCAGAAGGATAAGCATAAGAACAATTTAATTCTTTCTAAAGGTCTTGACTCTGTTGAAGAAGAAGAAGAAGAG